CGATTGGCCCCAAAAAATCAGAAGATTGTTAAAGTCGCACAAATAAAGATGAGCTAAAGTTGTAATACAGTGATTTTTAAACGAATAGTATGGTGTTAATTAGTTTTATAAATTTCTTTCTTTCTTGTTTTTCCCTTTCTTGAATAACGAGTGTGAAAAAACGCTTATAAAATTTCGTAGAGAAAAATATCCTTTTCAATTCAATATTGAACAAATGCAATTATTATATTTTAGTACGAATGAGAAATTTCATTCATAAGTTTTCTTTTTTTTTTTTTTTGTGCTTTATTATTACCGTAACTGTTAGTCAACTCATAATTATAACATATACATATATATATTACAAACTAAATGTGATAATACATTTCTTTCTTTATAAAAATCAATGAAATCACATTTTACAGATATTTCGTTCCAAGGATTTTGTGACGAAAGTTTTTGTTCACAAAACGTATCGAGAGATTTATTTTGCATGCACTATTTTAATAAATTGTGTAATTGATAATTCTTTGACTATTAATATTCAAGATGTTTATAAAAGCATAACGTTAGCTCATTTTAATTGTACGACTAGTAGTAGTAGTAGACATTTTCTTAAAACTACATCTTCCTCATTTATAAATTTTATATACGCATTTTGCGTATATCGCATAGACATGCGTCTCGTATCTCATCGCTGAATATCCCATACTCAATTGTATTTTTCATTTTGCATTATTGTTGCGTTAGTAAACTTATAATCACTATTACAATAATTATGTATACAAATTTTATCGAATAAAATATGCAAGATATGTATCTGCATCTAAAAATATGTGCTACATGACCAAAGCAACTATTTCCTTGAGTATGTTATGTTCTTATTACTTCCAGTCAATGTGTTATTTTGTATAAACTATTTTTATTACAGATCATTTTGTATAAGTATCGCGAATATATTTATATAATGATTAGAGCTACTTATATTTTTGTCATTTGTAAGTTGGTGTCATTATATCGTAGGTCAAAGATATTCGATTCTCTATGAAATTTAATTTTACTACCTCTATGTGCTAATTCATCTATGTTCTTCTTTGCCTTTATTTTTATATTTTTTGCTAATTAATTATACATAATTATTTTAAAAGGGATAATTCTTTATGATTATATCTACCGTCTATTTTCAATTGTAAAATATCTACGAAAATACAAATTATAAATTACCTGTAAATTTTAATGGTAATTACAACAAATATCGCTATATAATAGAGTACGTAATTAATCTAAAAATTCATAATTATTTTCAAAGGTATTTTTTGTTTATAAAAGAAATTGCAAATTATACATGGATCGAATACAAATCATTGGCTTGTTTTATAAACACAAAAGTATAAACATAGATATAAAAAATAAAAGAAGCCGATTGATAATAGTCACTAATCGTAAAGTTTTCTTAAATCTTAATTGCTATTAACTACTTAAGCCACACTTTTTACTTTTAATTCGCATATTTACATGTAAAAAGATAGTAAATAAATTAATTATCAATAAGTCGAATATAGTAGATAATTACAATTTAGGCATAACGTAACAATACAATTTTCTACATTGTATGTTTCATATTTGCAATTTTTCACTACAATTGTCGGTTCATATTCATTTTATAAGCTTAATTATTATTATTATAATACGTATACAATACGTAAACTTTAATATGCTGCAAAGTTATTGAAACACTAAAATTTATATTTCGTCTATATGAGCAATCAACAGATAAAACCTTTATGTAATAAACATGGTTTTGTATTCGGTCTGTCTCCCCCTACCTCTCAATTTTGAAAATTTCAGAACACTTTTTTTTGTTTTTTTTTTGTTTTTTTTTTTTTTTTGTTTTTTTTTTATTTTTTGTTTATAACTTCAACATTTTTTATTTTTGATTGTTTTACTTTGTTCTCAACTAGTAAATTTATAAATAACATTCACAAGACGCATAAATCTAACACAAAAATATAAAATACTCAAGAGAACTTCCTAAGTGCTTAGTTAAAATAATGTAATTTGTACTGCTGTCCGTAAACAGAGTATAAATCATTTAATTAACTTTTAATATTCGTGTTATCTTTTAGACAAAGAAATTGGATGAAAATTAAATTATTCAGTTTCTTGTCTGAGTCATGTAGTTAATTCATTATTATTTATATAATAAATCACTTGCTTAATTTTTTCTATTCATTCGCTGTCTCGCGTAATAATAAAAATTTCTAAACACCAATTTTACAAAATTCTTATAACTATTTAACAGAAACCAACTTTGTAACAACTCGTACGCTATATTATTATTAATATGACTGTACTCGATATGCTTATTTTCCTTAGCTAGTTTTTTTTTATTGGAAAATGTTTTCTACTGACTTCCTTAATAAAATCTCTAGTTATTCAAATATGAATCAAATCTACGTTATATTTTTCCATACATTTATATTTAAATCTATTATTCTTTTTATTCTTTATAAAATAAGGGGTAATAATAATGTAAATTTTTTATCTTTTATTTATGCTGTCATTATAAAAATTTATGCAAACTCGCATTAATCATGAATATAATTCTATATAAGCAATTTTACATGTAGATGCATTGAAAATCAGAATCGGTAAAACAGCAATTGTACAATTTCTATAATAAATAATGAAGAAAATGAACTAGAAAAAGAAATTTCTAATTTTAATAAATATACAATATAAATACAATATAAACATTTTAAGTACATAAACATATATATATATATATATATAGTGCTTGGAGTAATCGCATCATTTATGAGTGGTAAAAACGAATTTTCTCATCCACCCGCTTTTTCTTCTTTATATTAATTTCGTTCGCATCTCTCTTCTTGTCTCCCTATCTCTTCTCTCTCTCTCTCTTCTCTCTCTCTCTCTCTCTCTCTCTCTCTCTCTCTCTGTCTCTCTAAAAAACACCCTTCTCTTTTCATATGAAAAACATAATATAAAAATTTTACATTACTTTTATTTTTGAAAAATCAAAACAGTGATTGTTACAATCTGTTATTATAAACCATAAAAATGTTCGAATAGAAAACTGCGATTTAAAAACATTTATGAATTAATTATTTTATTACGACTGTAATATATGAATGTGAGTAAATTAAATACAGTCGCGTAGGCCGAATAAAAACTAATTATCAAAATTATAATAATTTTAAATCATAGGAACAAAGATTTTTATTAAATTAAGTAACTTTGTAAATATATAATCCTGCTACGATTGTTTTTCAATTTGGCACCATAATTAAATTTAAGAGGTTTTCTTGTAAATTCTATACTTTGAGTATATAGTAAAATATTAATATAAAATTTATTCTAATTATTAAAATATTTATTGGCAAAATAAAAACCTTTTGTTGCACTGGTTAAAAATACTTTCCTGTTCGTATAAAGTTCATCCGTGATTCTTATATATGCCATTTGAATTCTTATATATAAAATTTGAATCCTAATTTTGTAATATATTTTGTCACTTTTAAATCGGATATGTATTAAGATATATTGTAATTATTATAAGTTTCATATTGGAAATGTATATTCAGTCAAAATATTTATTAGTGTATATCAAAATCTACGGATATTAAACTCAATGTAGTCGTAAGGATGGGTAACGTAATGAAACTTTTATGACGATAAATGACGCGATAAATTTACTATAAGCACCTCAAACCATTTAAAAAAAGCTAATCCGTTTTTCAAATTGAATTTAGAAACTTATCCTTTAAGGCACCCTTTTTAATTATATTTTATAATGTCAATTTAAGTGACGAATAGAATATATTACTAAGTAATTAAAAATATTCTTTCAAATGCAATAACAACTGTATATAAAATTTTAACGATTATAATAGCCATGTATTAATGTATTATAAGAAGCAATGTGAAGAAATTAAAAGATAAATATAATTTTATATATTAGAAAAGAGCATATCGAAGAATATCGATCTCTTACGCGAAGTTGGCTGTTTAATATTTTAGTTAATGCAATATGCATTATAATGTAATAAAATATATTTATTGAAATTTATACATGAATATACATATATATATATATATATATATATATATATTGTTTTTTTTTAATGTCCGTTATAAATAAAATAAAAATCATATTTATCATAGTACAGCTAAGCATTTTGTTTCAACATACATAAAGAAAATAGGTTATACAGCCCAATTAACTGAAGTGGCTTTTTCGCGGTAAATTAGAATCCTCATTGAAGCGAAAGAGCATAAAATCTCAAATTTCCAACGACTGAAGAGGACAGAAGCTGAATCAGTTCTTCAGAATCAAGCGCTTAAAAAGTAGGGACACCTTTTGGCACTTTGTCAACATTTCCCAAACTTTATTTGCATTTCGGATTGTATTTCCCTCGAACGGATACCGAGATAGAGATACTTTACGATCTCAAATACTAATGTGATTCATACGTTTCCTTTAATCCAATATCCAAAGAGACTTATTGTATCATCTCATAAATATGTAAGTATATAGATCAATTACTCGTGAATGATCCAGCCGTTAGGGAATTATAAATTTAATTCCTATTCAGTAAATATCTCTCGACAATACTAAATTAATATAATTAATGAATTATAATTAATTAACCCATAGTGTCATAAGATAATTGTTGTAATAACAGTTACATTATTTATTTTTAATCGAATAAATATGAGTTTTAAAAGAAGTTCCTATAAAGCAAATCCTTATCACAGTGGATTAAAATTTGAATTTTTGTTCTAAATTATGTCTTTTCTCGACTCTACCCTGCAAGAAATCCATGAAAGAGAAATATTTTCGAAGATATCAGAGGTCGCATTTGTAAATGATCGATCGGTAGCAGTTGTGACGTGAGCAGAGCTAAATTGGGCGTAAAAAGAAAGGTCAGAGAAGAAGCACAAGTAAATGGATACGCAAGACAAGGGTAGAGAGAGAGAGAGAGAGAGAGAGAGAGAGAGAGTGAGAAGGGGGGAGGGGTCTAATATTACGTGTATGCGTAATATGTAAGTGACGAACAAGGAATTCACATGACAGCGCACTTCTCCTTAAGGCTGATGGCGTTATTGCTCTGGACAGGTTGCAGGGAAACCGAGCGATTCTTCTCGAGAGTCAGCAGGTCTCGGAACAAAGCGTTAACGTTATGATTCGTCTTGGCGGATGTCTCGAGGAAGCCGCAGCCCCAGTTGGTCGCCTCGGCCTGGCCTTCGCTCTGCGTCACTTCGCGCCTCGATGGACTCTCGTCGCACTTGTTCCCCACCTAAAGATTAACAAGAGGCCAATTTTATTATAGGTTACTCATCCAATTGATAAATGGAATTTGCAATAGGGACATTGCCATTAAATGCCTTTGTACGAAAGCATCAGCCATATTCGTACTTAATGCGTCAACGTTTTTGGAATTCCCTACGCGGCTTTATCAATTAATGATTTATTATTAATCCTCATTGCATATTGATTGATAATTATTTCTCTCGTTCGATTGATTCTTCGATTCGTAATTATTTATTATCTGAAGAATAATTGCAAGTTTACCTAAATTAACCAATTTACTCTGACTGTACGTGACAATTTATACTAATTCTATATATACATTCAATATATAATTATAAAAATATTACAAAATGATACGATAATATACTTTTGTATACATATGAATTAATGTAAATTAACAAATTTCACCAAATAATTAACTAATCTTCTAAACAGTTGTTCAATGCTTTAGTTAAACGCCTTTAATTAAACGGTCTTAGCTTATTTTTTAATTTATTAAGTTTAACGGATATATCACTTTGAATATAAAAAGTTACGCTTACCTTGAATGAACTAATTTTTAATTTTATAAAGATATGTAATATAGTGTAATTGTTACTATACTGCCACTGATAATTATTTATTCTATTTTGAAATTTCATATTACAAATTAATATTAAAATATAAATTAAAATTTCATACGCTTAATTGTACATTTAACGAAGTATATCGTTTAACGTTGCGAAATGTTAATCATACAAATTAAAACCGCAATGCAGTGTACACCAATATTTGCGATTTTAATATATAGAAAGACAAATTGAATTTAATATTCGAATTATAAGATTATCGTATTATTTTCAATCGCTCTCATAGAATAATAAAAAAAGAAAAAAGAAAAAAGAAAAAAGAAAAAAATACATCACACCGCCTCCTTCCAAAAATATTCGCATATAAATTATTGCATGAGATTTCCTTTCGATCACTCATATTATTTGTAGATAAAAAAACAAAGTATAATCGGATCAATTGTACAAGTACAATCGACACATCGAGTTATTCGTACGTAAGAGATGAGTGCACTCGGAATTCAACGCGTAGTATAAATTTTCAATGCTACTCTATATAGATATTTCAGTCACATTTGTATCACTCGAGTGAATGATTGAGGTCCACGGGCAGATGCATTGCCGGCTTACCTCATCACTAAAGAGCGCAATGCTTTAATGACGTTGACATTTTTATCTTTTCGCAGTAAAATCATTAATATGCGTCAGCATATGTTGTCTGTGGATATATTTATTTGAAAAAACTTTGAAGAATTTATCACTTTTATAATCTATTTTCTCTCTCTCTCTCTCTCTCTCTCTCTCTTTCAAATACTGAAAATGAACGACAGATTAAAAATCACCGATAAAAAACAGTTTTATCGATTTACACTATAAAAAAGAAAAATTTAAAAAAATAGAGCTTATGTAGGTCCTTTTCAATATATAAATCTAAAAGTCATTATAAGGTTATTTACATGTTTTTAAATCACATTCACTACTATTCGACAAGGCATGGAAGATAGATTGTAATAATTATTTATATAAATTTCAGTAAAACATTAATGATCAAATTAATATAGAAATGTAAGGATATTCATTTTAGGGTAATTCAATGAAATAACGTTCAAATTGAAATTCTAATTCGAATGAATAATTAAGTCTGCATAATTAGGTAAGGAGTTGCATTATAACATAATAAAGTTAATAATATCGAAATAATGTCGAAAATGCCACTATGAAACAATATAGACACATGAGTCAATCGATTTTACGAATCACTTACTTCAAGCAGGTCAAATAAAATTTAAAATTTTTGAAAGTAAAAGATATAATGTTAGACGACATAAAGCTTTGGATGGAAATTATAAAATATTTAGAATGTCATTTGTTGACAAGGAAATAATATGTTATAATTGAATATGTTTCCATTTTGTTATAAATAATTATTTAGAGATGAGCGATAGAATAATGTTTCATAATTTTTCATAATTTTCCATAATAGAATAAGAGAGAAAGAAGTATTCCATTGGCACTCCGATTAAAGATAAATTCCGAATTATTTAAAAAGTCATAAATTGCAAGAATTTTAATGTATATTAATACGAAATTTATAAGAAATTATAATTAAATTATTTCAATTCAGTTACGTTTTTTCATTAAAATATTATAAAGACAGTTAGTTATCCGAGAACTTTAGGGATTGAATATTGGGATTTTCATTTTTATATACATTAAAATATAACTAATTGAATTATAAAGAATTCAATTGAAAGCTCGAAATCTAAATATAGAAATAAATATATAAATTAATAAATATATATACTCGGATAAATATATACTCCGAATTGATCCGAATAATACGTTCCATTAAATGTCATTTCTATTAGCTGATATTAATATAATAAATATGTTTAATATTAATTTTACAAATAATTTCCATAGCTTAAAGATGTATTCAATCGTGAAATCTTAGTTGAAATTTATTGTTTCAAGATAAAATTTCTTGCCTAAAAGTCCACTGTTCAAATTCATTATTTATTAACTTTTTATTAATAATATAATTAAATATATTTTAATCTGCCATTATGCTTTCATAAAATTAATAATTAGTTACAGAATTTGTATGAGATGAATTTTTATTTTAATTTAATCATTAATTTCGCTTAACAGGTATTTTGTTGAGTCATTTGATTTTGAAATGTATCCAATGTACCATAAAAACAAAATATATTAAAAATAACATTTATAACGAAATACTAACGCTCTTTATTAAGTAGTATTACTTTTATAAATATTTTAAACTACTTTATATCGTAGTGTCAATTGATATTTTTGTTATTGTTTATATGAATTACGCTTCTAAACTCTTAAAAAATATATACCGAAGAAAAATGATGTAAAGGACATTAAATTTAATGTTTTTTTCTTTATCTTTTCTTTTTAAATTTCTTTAAACCTTAATGTTTATCTATTGACCTCACATATCTTCGGAGAAAGCTTATTGTAGATGAGAAAAAAAATTCCTGCTTTTTTCTTATCTCGGCACATAGTTATATCATCAGATCGATAGACATCAAACTATCTTTTCTTTGACGGATCTTTTACAAAGAATAATAGCCCAAGGTCTTTAGAGATTTACTAACGTATAGTATAGAAGTATGGTGAAGTATCCGTTAAAAGGAATACATAAACTGAAAGAAATACTTGATAAATTTTGGATTGTTCAAGGGCCGTTGAACAATCGGCTAGACTGGACGGCTAAGTGTGCGAGAGCCTCTCAATTTATTTGGTGCTGTAATGGTTTCGAATTTACCGATAACTCATCGGTTATTATACTCGAATATACAAGTTCAACGTGTCTTTATAAATATTTTGATATTATGTATATGTATGTAAAATAAAAAGTATTTCACTGATTAATTTTTTTCATATGCCGATATGTATAAAACTATATAATCCGTTGTTGTTTTTTAATGATACAATATTCCTGTGATAATATCACCTTGCTAATACTAATAATTGAATATTTTGTTTATTAAAAGAAAAAAAAAACAAATAATTATTTATGGAATACTTTATGTGCCCTTGATAATCTTGGTAGATTTATAATAATAAAATAATTAAATAACAGAATTATATAATGAAGATTAAATTTAATTAAGCATCCTAGTAAAGTACAAAATAAAATGTTAAGAGGTTGTAAAAGCGTAGAAAATATAATTATTTTATTCGGTATACATTCACAAAATTTTAATTAATTTAATTCATATCGTAATGTCTTCCTGTACTTGTTACAACTCATATTAATCTTACTTTATAAAATATATATGTTCATCTATATATATATATATATATATATATATATATATAATCTCTAATCTTCAAAGCTATTAATATGTTACAGTAAAGATAAAGGAAAGTACATTGTGATAAAGGTATTTTTAAAAAATTTATGTAAACTTTGAAATTAAAATTGAAAAAAGGTTTTAAAGTTTTAGCGAATGTAGGCCACATCTTAAAGTGAAATCTGTCGGTTTTTTTATGAATAACGAACGCTTCGGGGGATTAAACACTCCTGTCCCTATAAAAAGATGTCTAATGCACCAAATATTTTCATGAATTATAAAAACAATTGCTATTATTATTATTATTATTATTATTATTATTATTATTATTATTGTTATTCGTTTTAATATTAATTTAAATAATAAAAAGAAATAATACAACGTAATATAAGCAGGACGTGAGAAACTTAAAAAAATCATTCAGTTAAACGTTTTAATTACAAGAGATAAAAAAAACATTAAGTATAAAAAGAACTTAGTTTCTTTGAAAATTTTTATTGAAAATTAAATATTAGGAAAAAGCCTAAATTTATGAGGATTAAAAATTGCGGTAATGTAAAATTTTGTAAAATTTTTATACTCATTGCCACATTTTAATAAATCTTCATAAATTTAGGCTCTCCTCTAAGAATTAATATTTCTCTTATATAACTTGCTTTAACCTGAATAAAATCTGCCATGAAAAATAAACTTACTATAAAGGACGAATCGTCAGTCTCAATTATCTCATTATCCTTGCTGTATCTCGTTGAAGCATTATAATCGCTTAGATATAAATTAACTTATTTATATAATTTAAATCAACATCATATTATTTTCTCTATTTTTTAAAGCCTATATAATATTTTATTATAGTCTAGTGAAAATTTTCTATTATGCTGTAAATAAATGTCGAGCTCTTTTAATTAAAAATCTATAATAAGCTACGTACAGTCATACTAATTGTCAAACGGTAATAATCATCTACTTTAGAATATATACACAATTTAAAAATAATACCAACCTTATTTAATTATCATTACTAAAAATGCTGTATTATGTATCTGATATTATACATTTGATAAGAAAACCCATATGTATTACAATAATTTTTTAAATCTTTTCTACTGTTATAAGATTAGTAGACGCATGAAATTAATCAATCGTAGCGTAGAATGATATTGTCGAATTTATTTATTATTATTTTCTTTTTCTTTGTTATTATTATTAGTTCTAATACTTATTTATTATACAATATTTATTCATTATAGTATAAGGAACATATGTTTGAAAAATCATTAAAATTAGTTAAAATTACGTATAAATTTCAAAGGCGCATCATTTAATATTATATGATTGTCTTCTTATGCGCTTTCATAAAAAATTTATTTTCTTGCATTTCTCGTATATTTGAAAAGTTATTTACACTATCCGGATAGAAATCAATATTAATATATTGTCCGAATAATCGATAATTACTATATAATGATAGACATGTGATAGTACATAGTTAATACTTAATGCAAAAAAAAAAAAAAAAAAAAAAAAAAAAAAAAAAAAAAAAAAAAAAAAATAAAGAAATTAATTAAACTGTCTTTGATTGTTTCAATACAATATTATAGAGAGGAAGTATTTGTAGGAAATCACAGATATTCATTCAAACCAATAGCATTGTGTGTATATATATATATATATTTCATGTAATGGACAACGCAGATATCATAATCAATATATTATAAATGCAGAATAAGTGTTTGATTAAAAGACACTAAATAATAATATCACATAATAATATCCACGCAATTGAGTGTCAGCAGTACATGAGCTCGTAATCCTTACCAGCATGATCGGTATTTGCGAGATGTCCTGGCCTTTGAGTTCTCGTATAACAGTCCAAATCGGCCGCAACTCTTCGAAGCTCTGGCGTGAAGAAACGGAGTAGACCAAGATGAAGGCGTGGCCCTTGCTGATTGAGAGTCGCTGCATCGCGGGAAACTGATGGGACCCCGTTGTGTCCGTAATTTGAAGGGTGCATATGTTTTTGTTGCAGCTTATCACCTGCAAAATGATAGTCGTAACGTGCTCCAGTAGCTACTACTCTTAACCTCGGATTATCTCCTAACTTATCTCCCATATCGATTGCCACGATTACTTATGATTATTCTTCGTTCTGTGAGTTCCATAGAAATTTCTTTGACCAAATGAACGATAATAATAATAATAATAATAATAATAATAATAAAAATAGTAATTGAGCCACATTTACTAATAATACACCTTGACAAATGCTTCACATTGAACGTTTATTAGGCAACTAACTTGAGCGATATTTCTTATAAAAATTTCATAGGGTTTTAATGCCATTATATGAACATACTCCCATATAAAAGAAATTTTTTTAATAAAAGATGAAGAAGAGTTTATGATTTCTCACACTACTTTTAGAGTTCTTATTTTCAATTCCTGGTGGAATTGGTTAATCTTATTGGTTAATCATACAATTATTTCAATGGATTAAAATCGAATAATATAAACATTCGACTGTTTACTGATTTGATTTATTAAAATTTTTATAAACAATACTAACAAACAATAATAAACATAAATATCTCACAATTCGAACAAAATTATGAATATCTTATGCTGGAGCATATTACATGTATATATCGATAAATATTAATAAATTATTCAATAATATTAAAAATTAAATTCATTAGTATTTACATTATCACTAAATTTATGAAGATGCAAATTAAATTTTTAATTAAAATAAACAACACTTTCTAAATTAATGTTTAAAGTAAATGATAAGTTAGGAAGTTAAAAAATTTGATGAAGAAAATAATTCTACAATGCCATTTGAAATTTAATTGATACAAATTCCTCTACGTGTGAACTATTTTACCCAATTGTAATACGCATAAATGCATAGAAAAGTCTAGAAACACACGAATCCTTCCGCACACACAGCAACGGGTCCCATCAGTTCTCCATTAATTCTCGTCGAATATCTTCGCTGTTCTATAAAATATCGATGAGCTCAAAAAATTGTCAAGTGATTATACTTGCGCGTATGCGGAAACTGATAGTTCAATTAGGAATGAAAGAATTTTTCGAGAATTTAAATAACTCTTCTTTTACTATTATTAAACGAAATTAATTACATAATATTGTAAAACTTGCCAAAGCCTGCATAATTTTAATCAAACATTAAATCTTATTAAACGAATAATTCTATTATTATTAATTGAAAACAAGTTTATTTACTATTATTCATAGACATGTTATTAGACTGCTTATTTAACTAATTAGATATTGAATATCTCAAAGTACTTTATGACATTCTATTATTTACAAATGCTACCCTATTAAAATTTCAACAAAATACATAAATTTTTTTTTCGTTCGATATTAAGTTGTATATTAATATTATCAAAACGTCATTATTTCAATTATCGATATATTAAAATCGATATATCCTTTTTATATAATACTATTGATAACAATTTACAATTACAATGTAAGCACATTATGGCTTAAAGATATTTTCGTATTACTGTAAAAAAAATTTGAAAACATAATATTTTCAAATTGCCAAGCTTTTTCTGTCCTACTAATTTTTTTTTTACCAACTGAATTATAAACTTTGAGACTGTGTATTATATCAACTACAAATACACTAAAATATTATGAATATTGACTTTTTTCACATTTCCTAATTATAGAGCTTATATTAATTTACAGTAATATTTAATTTTTTAATTTTTTAGAAAATTAAAATTCTACAGATTGTCTATATTTAAAATAGCTTACTCAATTGCATGTTAAAATTTTTTATTTATAATCTTGAACAATTTCTTAAATAATAATACAAATATCGCGAATGCTTTCATTAAAAATTAAAAACTTATATTGGCATACTAATTGACTAGATTTAATTTATGAAATTTTAAAAAATGTTATAATCAATTATATCTATATTATTATAAAATTTATTCAAGACAAAGTAATTAATAATATAGAAAAATCGACTAATATTGACAAATTTTGAACTATAAATGAACATTGTAACAGTACGCATCAACAGTTTTAATAGAGTAGGAAAAAAATTAATAACGATAATGAAATAACATGGCCGTTGTTCAATGCCAGAGCGAAAAAAATTCTTCCTACAACTATTAACGCAAATGTCACAATTCATTCAATATTTAACATTTGCCCGTATAATATCATCGATACAGACAATAATCTAAAAAAATTTTATAATCTATTCTACTCAACATGCTCTACTAAAATAATTTAATTAAATTCTACAAACGTATAAATATATTGTTAAATTTATAATGTTTTTAATCGATTTCTACTATAATACCGAGAATTAGTTTTATTATCATGAAATTTGATTATAATCATAATAATAAATATCATATCGATATTTTATTATTTAATATCTGAAAATTCTATTATTGATCATACTAATAAATAAATATACATATGCGTTTGTGCGTGTATGTGTTGGTGTATTTCTGTATTCATGAATATATATATATATATATATATACATAATTTAATTAAAAAAATATGTTTTAAAATAGTCAAAAGCATAAAATGATATATTGTATGTAAAGAAAATGTTCAAGTCTTATGAAAAGATTTTTATTCTACTTAATAATTATATTAATAAGTATTCTAATAATATAAAATGTATAGAAATAATATATATATATATATATATATATATATATATATATATATATATACTTTTGTAAATTATATATTATATTTTAAAATTCAACTAAAAATTTGGAAAATGTTATGCGACCCATTTCTTGAAAATTATTTATTTTTTATAAGCTTTCAGTAAAGCAGTAATTTCAAATTCAGAAAATAGTTGATAAACAAAAATTTCTTCTTACAAAAAACCTGTTCATTTACTCATATTTATCTATCTCGTACTTTCAATTAATTTGTAAAAATCATCCTACACTCTTTGCAATCATTTACATTGTTCGACTCTTCTTCAATACATTTATTAAAAAAAAAACACTTATTCGTTTTACAATTATATAATTAGAATATTTTTAAATTGAATAATAATAATTACGTAATATTCATTACCTCGTCTTATCTCATCTTATCTTGTAAATTAAATTAAATTTTATTTAAAATAGTATGTAAATCTATATTTAAAATTTTTAAATCTGAATATTCAAGAAATTTTTAAAAACGTATCATTTCCATAAAAATTTATGTGCACCTTTAATTTTCAACAAATTTTGTTTAAGGATTGTACCTGTACTACTTCCACAAAGCTTCCGTCTTTAAATCCATGAAATAAAAACTTTTACTCCTTAGTTACGAATTCAATTATACATTGAAATTTTGAATCATTCAATTAAAAATCATCTATATGATACAAAAGGCTGATGGTACGCACAAACTAGATTGTACATTTTCATAATGTGAATCTGAAGATATGTAAATATATTCGATGCAGCAAAAATATTAATATTATTTAAGTTCTAAATCAATTTTTAAAATATAGCATTTTATTGAGTATTAAGTAAGTAATTGTAGCCAGAGTTATTATAATATATAATGGAAATTAATTGGGATCTTGAATATCTATAATAAAATATACTGATGATGATGAATTTTATAATTAATTATAATTGTATATAATTTATTATAAAAGGCCCAAAAATCAAGAATATATTAACAAAGTAACGGTGATTGTTACGTGATTATTTAAAGCCGAAATACAAATTTAAATGATTAGAAAGATTAATTTAAAAAAAAATTATGTTTACTCATACATTCTTGTGTTTTTGTTTATCATTACAACATTTAATTAATAACTTACAAAATTATAAATTCTTTTTACGAATTATTTTCATCCAAATATAATTTATATTGAACCATAAGATTGATAAATACACGTGCACATATTCACCTGTACATCTCTCTACGACTTAATAGATACATCAATGCATTCAAATATGAACGCGAATATTTTTCAATAATAAAACAAATATATGAAAATACTATATATAAATTAATGATTTATATATATATGGAATCAAATTTATATAAATTTTACATGCTATCAATTTATTAATAAATAAAATTCAATGGATAAATATATTTAATACAGGTATAAATGAATATTAATACAAAAAGTCAATGAAACTATAACATAAGCTATTTAATTTTAAATGATTAAATAACTCATTATCATCGTTCCAAATAAAAACTGGCAGAAAATAATTTATAAGTGTAAAGAACTTATTTGCCAATTCAGCTTCAAAATATTAATAGAGTTAATGTACTTTTATATTAACACATTTATAATGCAAGAAGAAATCATTTAAAAAAAAAAGATGTCTTAGTTATCGTATAAGAAAATATTATGCAATAAAATAAGAAATACACGTTAAGTATGAATTATCTTAAAGCATAAATTGTATTTCACTACTCTAAAATTATTATTAGTAAGAGACAGTAGTAATTCATATATCGAAAGCAACTGGATCTATCAATAACATTATTGATAAAGTAATGTTTCAAATTTATTATGAAAATTAAACGAATGTCATATTTCAGAAAAATAAAATACAATTCAAATAATATACTTGTTTAAGAAACTACAATTTAGTAATATAAAATAATGTATAAAGGATTCACGTATTTCCGTATCATTAAAGCAATACAAATTTATATTTGCCAGCAATTTAACAGACTACTTGATAAATAAGAAGTAGGGATAGAATTATAATTATATTTATTCTCGTGTCAATTCATGAAATATAAAATAATAAGGCGTATTTTCATGCTTCTGTTGCGTCTTATCAATTTTTATATTACACGGTCGTTTAAGATATGTGTATTGATGAATTTATGTGCGTAAGTTCAATTCGTTGGAAAAGATGAGAAACGAGTAATATTTTTTAATTTATCGAAGCGTTAGAATTTATTTAAAGTTGTAAAATTTATCTAATGGTACCGAAGCACTACAAAGTTCTTATTCATTAGTAATTAAATTCTTAATAATTTTCTTGAAAATTCTAAAATATTACAGACAATACGTGTAAATGCTTGTTTTAATCATGAAGCTTAAAACAAAAGTACAACTATATAATAAATTTTAAATTTTAAATAATAAATAAAAAGTAATTATTTTTTAATAAATTAAATTATAGCTTTTTTAAAAGGCGTTGATTTTATTTAAATATTAAATTTAATCATTAATTAATTTAATGATTGATTTCATTGATTTACGAACTAAAATACATTTATAAATAAAAATTTGTGTGAAAAAATTATTTGTTTTATATTTGATATTAAAATTTATTATACTTATCTCTCTCTCTCTCTCTCTCTCTCTCTCCCCCCCCCCTCTCTTTTTCTCTGTGTGATCAATATAATAATTTATTTATGAAATTATTATACAATTGAATAAATTTCAAATTATTACAAAATATTTATTATTACAAAATATTACAAATTATTACAAAAATGGTTGAATAATAATGCAATGAATTAGTTGCAAATTTGTATAATTAATTGCATACATAAAATATTGAGATAAAAATATAAAGTATTTATTTATACGTATAAATACTAGTAATTTATATAAAAATTTAACTTATAAATTATATATTAACTAAATGTAATTTGTTTAATTTATACTAAATACTATTGTCTATGTAAGCATTTAAATTGACAACCTTGACCTTTTTATATTTAAAAATATTCCACACTTTGCTTAAAATACCGTTATAAAAAATACTATTGTAGAACTATTATGTAGTGTGCCTATCAGATCTACAACCGTTATTTTAATACTATAAATTTTAATAATTTAATTATCCGAATTTTAAGTTTGTAAAATAATTAATAGTGTGTGAACCGCTGTGAATCGTTTAAATTGATAAATTATACTTTTTTTTGTTTTACTCACATAAGATTTTTAAATTCTAATAATAAAATTCATGTAATTTAATGTAAAATATATTTAATAAATGACGACAAATATTCAACTAATAATTTACCAACAAAAAAACAAAGGAACCATAGGTATTTTCATTCAAAATAAATAATAAAATTGTACTAAATGAAAATCATGAATAATTTTTAATATTTGTCTAGTTTGTACGCAATATATGGTAATACTATAATCCAGGTAGGTACAATGCATTGCTCTATAATTATTTTGAATTACTTCATCTTTTATTAGATTATACATATGACAAAATAATCACAGAAACTTGTGTAACGCACTTATAGAACTCACAGATCACGATAAGTAATAACCATAATAAATAAATGCTATTTTTAAAGTATTTATTCTATTAATCCTTAACACTTATCAAATCGCTTTCATTACGACCCTAGATTTTACGAATGAATATGTCGTTCAGAGTTAGTATTAAAACTTTATTGAGACATTAAATTGAATATATATTCTCAATATAGCTTATATTGTTTTTTTTTTTTTTTTTTTTTTTTTTTTTTTTTTTTTTTTATTTAATTAACAAACGATCAAATATTATGAGGGTATTTTATTTTTTATTCTTTTCCTACCACGTACATTTATTTTTCGATAATTAATTTTAAAGTAAATTAAAGAAAAAGAAAATTAACTTTCTTAAATATATTATTATTCTTACAACAAAATGTAAATTACCAATTCTACATAAAAATGGTATAAAAAAAAAAAGAACAAACAAACAAATGAAATATCCCTACACACAAATTAGAAATAATCTACACAAGTTATTTAACACAGTTAAATTATAATTTTTAATGTATCCGTTACAGTTGGTATAAAGTTATTAGAAGTTTAAATATTTACAAAAGAACAGTAATTACCCATTAGACAATAACAATTGAAAATAAACTAAAGATTAAAATATCATTTCTCTTTCTTTCAATTAATATAAATAAAATTGTATCAATTTTGAAAAGTTTTATTACAAAGAATTTATAACGAGCGCATAAATATCATAAAACAGTGTACTTTATCATATTACATTATAATAAATATATTTTTATATGAGCTATACAATTATCGTGTAATTATTATTCGCACTTATATAGGCATGTATTGTCAAATATAAATAATTACATTTGATCGTCTTCTTTCAAACAGAGATAAATTAAAAATTTATAAAAACTTAAAAACTACAAAGCTCGTACATTAAAAAAAAAAAAAAAACAGAAAAAGAATATAACTTATAAATGTACTTATTCAGTGGAAGAAATTTAGTAAAAAAAACTAGGAAAAGAAGAAAAAATTAACTAATAAAATTTTATTCTATGTTACAAATTCATTTTTTCGTATTTCCGAATTCCACTGTTTGTTGGATACTCTTTTTGCTATGAAGAAGATTTTTTATACTGTAAAAAAAAAAAAAAAAAAAAAAAAAAAAAAAAAAATAAAGTTAAATCTGACATTTGTTGAGTATTATTAAATTACTGATAATTGCAAATCGAGAGCAACGTAAGAACCTATTAAAACAACAATTTTTTATTGATCTGACAATACAGTTGAGAATATAATTAACGTATAATGTTTAGATGCATATGTCCTGTGGATAGGACAAAGCGACTACAAATCAACATGCAGTGGCAGATGCACGTGTCTACGTGCTCAAGTAATAATGTGCCGTGCAAGAAGAATTAAACAAAGACAGGCCAAACATTACCTGTCTGTACGTGTCTTCAATCGTGGGCACGTAAGATTCTCGAAAGGTTCCTCTCACGAAGCGCAGGACCAGTGAACTCTTACCGACTCCACCGGCCCCAAACACCACCACCCTATAGTCATTACTTTGTTCCGGCATCCTGACATCTGCCGTCGCGATAATTTAATCGGCCCCTTGCGAGGCCCTCACGGATTCAGCGACGAAACTTCTCCGCACACCTTCGCTCGTTCTCACCTCACCTCACCTCACCCTCCTCCTCCTCCTCCTCTATCTCCTCCTCTATCTCCTCCTTGGTAACTCGCTCACCGACGTGCACACAGGCAGACAAATTTCACAGCTCTTTTCAACCTTCGGGAACTATTGCGCTCCTCGACTTTCGACTCTCGACACTCGCCTCTATCTCTCTCCCTTTTAAACTTTACCTTCGAAAGATCACGCCTCTCTAAACATATACTCGCATCACTTGACTTCTCTCAGTAGCGCTCGCTCCCTTACCCCTCCTCCTCCTCCTACTCCTCCTTTTCCTTTTCCTTTTCCTTCTCCTTTTCCTTATCCTTTTCCTTTCTTTACCTATGTGCTTCTGTCCGTGTGTGTATGCGCGCGCGTGTTTGTATCGGTTTTTCCCGCTCCACCTCCCTTACACTCGCCAAGATTTACGCCAAGTCCACGACAATTTATGCGACACTCGGCTCCCCCGCGCACCTATTACCAATACAGCATTCGTTTATCCTTTCAGCTCGACATCTTCTATAATCGAACGGCTCCACGTGGCCCCCCGTCACGCTTACCGACGCTCTGCGCTTTCGCTCAATTTCCTCTTTCCTCTCCTTCGCCCCTCACGGACGCCTGATTCTCCTTCGTTTCGCTATTGGGCATTTAATTTCCTCGGCGCCAGTCTATCGACACTCCTCCGACCGTTGAGTTTCGGAGGTGAATTAATGCAGGGAGGTACGAACGAACGTGAGAGACACGATAAAACAAACGTACGCGCGGAAATGCTCGCGCGCCTCGACGTTGACGGTCGATCGATCGAATACTCCCTCGGTTGTTGCGTATGCGTGTGCATGTGCGTGCTGGCGCGCGCGCTCGAGAGCTCGGGAGCTTATGCGTCAGCTAATCTCACCGGCACTTAAAGTCCTTCGACGCTTCGCTATTCGTCCTCGCGGAACTCATCGACCAGTTATCTCTACTCATCCTCCTCCCCCACACTGGCTCTCGATCCACGTTGCTCGAGTAACGCGATAAAGTAGGAAATGCGCTCGGCGCGCGGAATTTCAAAACGGTCGCGCGATCTTTAAACCCCCCCCCCCCCCGGCTCGGCAAGATCCTTTGACCACTAACTCGTGTGCGCTCTGGTCTTCGCTCGCTTGCACTCTCGTGCGTTCGAACGGCAACTGTCAATGGGAAATGTGATTCGACCGATCGAGGAGTGGATCAACGATCCAGCAACGTCTGACGTTTCTCGACCTCCAACCACTCACCCTCTTCGTTACAGTGTAAACTAACGTTACTGTCTATCGTCTCGCGACGCTTCCTATCTCGTGCGTAAGAAATAACTGATGCTGCGCCGCCGCGAAACCACGATTTCACCCCCTCTCTCGCATTCTCTCTCACTTCCACTTCAACTCCCACTCCTTCGCACCCTTCCTTCCTCGTTTACCCTCTCCCATTCGACCCTTCACTCGCTCTCTTTCTCTCACGCGCTCACACGCACGCACGCACACACACACACTCTCTCACTCTCTCTCTCTCTCTCTCTCTCTCTCTCTCTATCTCACTCACTCTCTCTCTCTCCCTCTTTCTCGCACACGCTCTCTGTCTGTCCCCTCACACACACACACACACACGCGCGCGCACGCACACATACTCTTTTTCATACGGAAGTCGAAGTTCAATGGGAGTGGGAAACGGCATGATTGGCCATTTATGTTTATATATAAGCCGTGAATCCGCGACGGCGTGAACTCGACGTGCGGTTATGATTTTTTTTTTTTTTTTTCAGCCGCGATAGGCACACGATAGCCAAGCTGAAAATAAGGATAACAAGATAAAAGAATAGCGGTATTATCGTAGAGGGGGAGTGTAGTCCGAGATGGATATAAAAAATCCGAAAGAAAAAAACAAACGGACGAATAGACCCAGGGGCGTGAATACTCGTGTAAAGCAAAAGAAAGAGACGGAATAGAAAAATGGAGTGAAATGTGTATGGGGAAGAAGGTGTGATATGAATCAACAGGATGTTAATATCCTGCTTATTCCCGAGCAATAATATGACTTCGTAATATGCGTACGCATCTGCTCGTTCGTGCGTACGCGTATCGCACCAGCAGATGAAACGATGAATGAAATGTGCGTGGGCATAGATGTGCGCCCGTGTGTGCGCGTGTGTGCGTGTATGTATGCAAAATTGCCAGTCAGTGGATAAGCAAAGTCTAAGCTCATTTCCAGCGTTATCGAGCTTTATCGCAACTGCATAATCTATCGAATAATTCAGTTTCGCATGGAATCTGTATTTACAAACAAAATAATTCGGAATATTTTACAAAATTTATGCCACAAGTGTAACATACTTTTCAACGGCAATAAACAAAAATGGCATAAATAATAAAAAGCACGCACACGAGCAGATCTACAGTTATATTTATCCGGTTGAATTCATTATATTATTTTTGCTTATGCGTTGATACTAGCAAACAGACGCAGCATCGCACCTACGCAAGCATAAAGATGAGTGGCGCTGGGCAAAGGTGATAATGAAAGAAAAAAGAAAAGGAAAAGGCCAAACACCAAGAAAGGGGTGAAACACACACTATTTCCTGGGCGCGAATTGACGTGTGATGCGTGCGCAGCAATAAAACATCTCCGGATTCGTGAATTCGGTTCCGTTGGTCCGCCTTTACGTGGGTGAGTCCGCGCACAGCTAAAATCAATAGAGTTTTGGTGGATGATAGATGCACGAATGGAGCCAAAGTAAAAAAGACATGTTTTTACGTGGCGCCAGTACTGCAAGAAGTGTCATATGTAATCGCGAATAACCGCCGGGTGGTCGAACGTTTTTGTAAAAATGTGTAAAATCTCTTAGAGTTAAATGGAATTTGTGCATAAATAGAAATGTGGTGGTGGCGTGGTAAATTGCGCGTTCGAAACATAACAAACAAATGTTTTTTTTTTCTTTTTTTTTTTTTTTTTGTTGTTTTTAAATAGATTTTTAAATGGATAATTGAAAGCAAAGGGATGCGGTTAACCTGTTAATAAATGGTATACGAATGGATAGGAGCGGTACTTCGCTCGGTTTCGTTTCTGTTATTTTTTGCTTCACGAGGAAAGAGGAAATGCAGGAAAGAGAAATAATAATACGTTCAGCGCGCTTGAAGTTTCATTCAGCCTCAATTAGCTAGTATTATTAGTCTTGTGCGCGTGCAGCACTTAAAATAAATAATAGCACAACAATTATATGTGGATACTATACTTTTATCATAAAATACGTTCTTAAGTTCTAATATATTTACATTGCAAAATATATAAATGCATATATATACCTTTGACTACTTTATAAAATGAAATTTTTTATTTGTCAACAATATTTATTTATATAAATAAAACACTATTTTTTGTTTTGTTTTGTTTTGTTTTAATAATTATCACTAAAACTTCATTAATTTTAAAGTAATAAATACTTTATATGTTGGCATACGTATATTATTAATTTTCAAAAATTGTCTAAATGTTTTAAAATTTTCACTTATATATCTTGGTTTTATCCTTAATTTTATACTTAATTTTATATTTAAAAATTACTATTAATATAAAAGGCTTCGTCATTATTGAAAAAATAATACCAATCTTTAATAATACCACATAAATACCATATAAACTTGAAAAATTGACTTGAAATTTTGTAAATTTTATTAAAGTTATAAGTTTATTAAATTTGAATAATGATTCTGCATTTCTTACGATATAGGATAAAAATTGTTTTAAATGATTGATATTTTTTTATATTTTTTAATAAAGTTTCGCGTTATTTTAATTGATACTTTGCATGATCTTTCAATAAGAGAAAAGGTTAAAGTGCTTCGTGAATTAAATTTGAATGTTAAATTTTTGTATTAAAATTGAAATAGTTAGTGGTGTGAATAATTTTTACAAAGCATACTTACAAGAAGCGAATTTCTATAAATGTCGAGAAGTTCGAGATGAAATATATAATGTATAATTTAAAGATATTAGAGCTCGTCCGTTGCAAATTAATATTTTATTATTATACATTCGTTTAAAGATCGGTAATTTATTTTCTTCGACATATTGATATTCAAAAGGTGTAAAAACTACATAGATTAAACTAACTCGTAATTCATTAAATATTAATAAAAGTATAACTGGTAATTAAAGTATTCCCTCCGGATAACAAACCCTTTCACACCGAATGAAATATAAATGAATACGCTAATAATGTAAGTTGCCTGTAATGATTCATTTGCATGTTTTATGATTATAAATAATTTGTTTGGTATTGTTAAACATCGATTTAAAATATTGTTAAAATACAATTTCAATTCGATTCTTCTTAAAAAAAATTATAATTTATTATCATATTTGTTATAACCTACGTAACCAAAAAAAAAAAAAAAAAAAAAAAAAAAAAAAAAAAAAAAAAAAACACACACACACAATAAGGTAATACAAAAAATTTGAATCATCTTGTTTAATCATAATTTTGAAGAACCTCGTTATTATTCAAAATAATATTAACTTGATTTAATAATAACGATTAAAATATTAAATACCGATATGTAGAAGAATCATATACCTCAACAACCTCTGAATATCAAGATTATACTCAGTTTATATTATTAAACTCACTAGTGGCTAAAAAATAGGCTACTACAAAATGACAAAACATAAAAGCCTAAATCCTAACTAACGTGACCAGCAATGACAAAGAAAAATAAAACATCCCAGTTATAAAAAGGCCGAATTATGAACAACATGCAAGATAACTACGAATAATAACTAGATAACCGAAACATCTGTTATCGAGCCTCGGTCGGGCATAAGCAACAATCACTGGGTACATGTTACAGCAGACAATTTGTAACGAAATAACATACTCATGCAATAATACACTTACACTCCCTTTCTTTCACTGGCGTCTATACTTTTAAAATAAACGAATAATAACGTACTGGCCGTTTTAATTAACGGCTTCGTATATCTTTCCCCTCGTTATACTCAATACAAAGTTGTTTAAAGTGACGTAAGCGAGCGACGTACAGCACACTTGCAGATACTCGTCGAGCATTCAAAATAATTTTCATCGCCACTGTGCCGTTTTATTACACATGTCCTTTAACTACGTTAAAACATGTGAATATGATTGCATGTTCGTGGCTTAGGACATGATTTTCAAAATACTTTCGTAAAAGAGAAAAATCTATTCCTCGTGAATTTGTATAATTTGCATTGTATCATGTAATAGTTAACGCATGTAAATAAAATTAATATTAACTAATAAATGAATTGCCTAAATAGAGACTCGGAAATTATTTTCATCTATTATTGAATCTAAGCTTTAAAATCTAATGATATGCGAATATTATTTTACTAATCTCAATTAATAATAATATTAAAAAAGGCTAACTACACATTTATTAGAGATTTTTATCACATTTAGATATATTTCAGAAACAAAATTGTATTATATAAAATTAAACATTTCATATATTATATTTAATATATTAATTGTGAAATTTAATTTTAAATGCAATAAAAACATTAAATAAGCTCTTGTAAATTTAGGAAAAATACATTTTATTTTTTTATTCAGTTTAAATATATGAAAACAATTATTATAAAAGTCTTTATTTCACTATGTTGTTCTTATATCAAATGATATTTAATCTTAAAAAATCTTCACTTTAAATTAATACATCGTGCTTCATTTATTTTATTTCTACAGTAAGAATAAATTGAAATAAATATTATTCATGTCAAATTTGATGAATTTCGATCAAGAAACTTACAGAATTGCGGTTACTTTGGTCATTTCTTTGGTTAAATTTTGAATAAAAATGTTTAGCTTCATATGTACAGATAAAAGAGCGATATTAGCTCATTTAGTTCATTGTTTATTTTTTAAATAAAATACTAAATGATAATTAATCTAAAGTAAAAAATCGTATTGACGATGGTAATGAATAATAAATGCACTGGACGTAAAAAATTCATGAGCCAAATATAAAATGAAATATAAAGTAAATTAATAACACTATCGATTCAATTGAAACTTTAATACAAAAGAATTACGCTTATAAATTAAAAAAAATAATAATTACTTAATTAAAAAATTATTATAATATAGAAAAGTAATACAATGAAAAAGTAATGGATATAAATAAAAGTAATAGAATGCAAAAATATAAAGCAAAATAAATACTGTGGATAGTTTTCTAAATATTAAACATTACTTTCGTTAAATAAAAGAATCCCAATGTAATATTTCTTATCTTATACTTATAAATACAAAACTGTCTAGATGAATGTGATATCTTAAAAATATACAATTAAAGTAATTTACAATATTGTACATTGATTCATTCACTGATTAGTATTGTACTGGTTTTTAATTACATTATCGCTGCCTTCATTTTCAATCGAATCATACATCCATTTACGATTATTCCTAAAGATAAAAATAAAAATGAATTAGAAAATTAATGAATTATATTCACAATATTTAAATAATAATCAATTCGGTTACACTAACAGAATAATAGATATATGCCATACGTACTTATATTTATCATTATTTTGTATACAATTGTATTATATTATTATGTGAATTTAAAATTTTACTTAAATTAAATATACAAAACATTAGACTGCATAATTAAAGTTTTACCTGCATTCGTGACCGCACTTTGTGGAAGAGCATTTTGGACAAGGAAAGTGACATCCCATGCAAGATTTTTGCAAACAATCGCAAAGATCTTCTCTCGAAGGAATATAAATACCTTTTTCATCATATAAAACGGTCTTTCTATTTCCATGATGTAAGCGACGATTCAATTTCCGTTTTTCTCTTTCACTTTGTTCTGGATCAAAATTGTGTAAAAATTTTTTTGTAACAGTATCGACTCCTTTCTGTCTAGCCCCTCGTGTTCTCTGTAATAGCAATTAAGTAGTAAGAAAATCATTTAAAATTATATTACATATTTATAAAAATATTCATGAAAATAATCATAGAAATATAAATCATTAATGGTTTGTAAGAAACTATTATTTAAATTTAATAATTACACCCTTTACTGAGCGTAATTATAATTTTGATGTAATAAAATCTTACTTTAGACGGTCCATTTGTTCCACTTATGGAATTATCCATTGTAAAGATTAATTATCATTTAAAACAGTTTTTGTCAAATTGTTAATAATCAATTATATTTGTATTTTTGTTGTTGTTGTTGTTGTTGTTGTTGTTGTTGTTGTTGTTGTTGTTGTTGTTGTTGTTGTTGTTGTTGTTGTTGTTGTTGTTGTTGTTGTTGTTGTTGTTGTTGTTGTTGTTGTTGTTGTTGTTGTTGTTGTTGTTGTTGTTGTTGTTGTTGTTGTTGTTGTTGTTGTTGTTGTTGTTGTTGTTGTTGTTGTTGTTGTTGTTGTTGTTGTTGTTGTTGTTGTTGTTGCTTTGTTTTGCTATCTGTTCTCGCTTAAAACGATAACCTCTAATTGAAATTTAATAAATTTAATCATACATTAAATAACAATAACTTCGTTTATTTCAATCGAGCCCAATAATAATTAATGTTCAACTAATCCAATAATCATTACGTTGCCAGTTTCTCACTTATCATTATTTTATTCGTTCGTTAAAAGTCTTCTTCAAATTTTCAATGAACTTGTGTACTTTGCGTTTGAAAATCTGCATGAAAATATATTTAAAGTACGCCAGTCGCACGAATCCATTTACGTTTATCTACTGCCATCTGACCGTCCACTTACCCACCCCACACACTTATCACTTTAATAAACATAACCTCGTTATTAGAGTGTCTCTATTATTATTGTATGATTATTCGGAAGCGTGGTAATTTCATCGATGATAAATAATTATTAAATAGTTAATTGATTGCCATTAATCGTTTAAACATTGTACGAGTAAATTTGATTTCATGTAAATGACAATTCATCGTCATAGCTCTTACTTCTAATTCATAATAATTCTAGAATTATAAGAATGGGTAAAAATAAAGGTTTTAATTTGAAAGGAAGAAACAAGTCGGTTATTTCAATTGATAATTCTGCGACAAAAAAAGTACTGTACTTCTTTGAATATTTTATAATTCGTCTAGCGCTATATTTATGTATTCCTAATATTTCTATTTAGATAATAGTTGACATCGCCCACCAGCAAGATAAGTTTGACGAATGTAATGCGTTAGTTTTACCAAATGAAAAAAGAAAAACCAAACATCAAAATAAACAAGTAACCGTACAACGTTTACTTTCAAATAAAAAAAGGAAACAATTAGAGAAAATTATTGATAAGAAGAAGAAGAAAAGTGACGTATGTTATTGAAATGTTATTATTTTTCAAAGCGTCTGTATTTTAACAAATTTATGCGTGTTTAATATTTAGAGGGCAACATTGTTAGATGAATTATCAAAAATTAATATTCCTGAAGATGAATTGAAACAGTACGTGTCTATAACAACTGTTCAAACTAAAGGATTAAAGAGACATTTACAAGACGTTGAATTTGAAACGGTTTTAAATTCTGTTAATTCCAATGAAGCCGATGATCCTGCGGAATATATTGTTAATTCGCTAAAGAGATCTAAGAGACAAAGAAATGCTTTATTACACAAATTTAACTATCAAAATAATATTGAAGATCCAAATACTCTTGGAGTTGACGTATGTAATTAATTCAAATTTAATTAAGTTTAGATGTACGAATATCGATTTTTATGATTCAATAAATTAAATACGTAGGAACAAAGTGATACTGACAATGAACCTAACGAACTTGATGAAATAGAGCACGTTGAACCAGAAAATGACGAGGAAAAAGATAATATTCAGAACAACGATGCGGAAGAAAAAAATTCCATACGCGAAGAGAAAGGATGCGAAGAAAAGAATAATGATGAAATTCCTTCAAAGACTGAAACACAAGAATCTGAGGTTTCAGAAACGAAAAACGTACCTGCGCAACCGGTAAAAGTAGATGAAAAGAAGCCATCAGTTTTTATAAGTTTAAATAGAAAACCAGAAATTCAAGAAGCTAGATTGAAGCTACCAATTTTGGCGGAAGAACAAGCAGTTGTCGAAGCAATTAATGAAAATCCTGTAGTCATTATAACGGGAGAAACAGGAAGTGGTAAATATAACTTTAATATATCGACCGATTTTTCATTTTATATATTTTACGTGAAGATAAAATTGAATGAAATGAAAATTTAGTTGAAGTTTTATATTGTGTTTACAATCAATTTAAATATTGCTTAATATCATATTGATTTTAATTTATGAAATTCGGTATATCAATACGTTAATATAATTAATTATTTAAAAATAAAATATCACAAAGTAACTGAATGCAATACAATTCTTATATATTCAATTAATAAGAATTATTTTGAATTTGTAGGCTAATATTTTATTTTATATAGTATATAGTGCATTAAAAATGCAATGTTTTCAATGGTAATTGTAACTTTTAAGGAAAAACGACACAAGTGCCTCAATTTCTTTATGAAGCAGGATACGCCCAAGGTAGAATGATAGGTATAACAGAGCCAAGAAGAGTAGCCGCCATATCTATGAGTCAAAGAGTTGCCGAAGAGATGAATCTCACGAATAAAGAAGTTTCTTATCTTATACGATTTGAGGGGAATGTTAATCCCGAAACAAAAATAAAATTCATGACAGATGGTATTTTATTAAAAGAAATTCAAAATGTATGTTAATACACGTTTAATGATATAATTAAGCCCTTTCAATGTCTGATTAATAAATTGGTTTTTATTAAAATTAAAATTAAAATCATCTTAAATATGAGAAGAAAACTGTAAAATGAAAAATAAGCATTCCTTTTTAAAACTTATGCATAAATATCTCTTCAATACAAGACAATTTTTAATCATTATATTTTATGCACAATTTTTGAGGATCATAAAATTTTATTGATTGTTTTTTTCTTTTCTCCCTTTTTCATGTATCATACTTATGATAAGTTTGATTAATTTAATATGATTGATTGGATAAATGCATTCGAGTTTAGCTCTTTAAACTTCTTTTGATTTAATCTTTCGATGATGCTTTACTAATATTATATGCAAAGATTAAAAAATATATTTTCACCTTATTTTTCAGGACTTTCTGTTAAAAAAATATTCCGTAGTAATTTTAGACGAAGCTCACGAACGTAATGTTTATACAGATATATTAATTGGTTTATTGACTCGTATTGTTTCGCTTAGAACAAAAAGAAAAGATCCTCTTAAATTAATTATTATGTCAGCTACTTTACGAGTAGACGATTTCATCGATAATCCTAGGTTATTTAAAGTTAAACCTCCAATTATAAATATTGAATCTAGACAATTTCCTGTTACAATACATTTTAATAAAATAACCAAAATTGATTATTTAAAGGAGGCCTTAATAAAAACCATAAAAATTCACACTCAACTGCCAGAAGGTGGTATTTTAATTTTTTTAACAGGTAAAAATTAATTTATATATTTTGAAACTATGAGAATTCCTCCTTCTAATTTATTTGATTGTTCAAACCATAAACAAACAAAAAAACAAAAAAAAAAAACAAAGGCCAGCGTGAAATTAAAACATTGGTTAACAAGCTACGCAAAACATTTCCATTTAAAAAGAATAAACGAAGTAGTGCCCCTGCAGCAAAGGAAAAAGAGTTAGAAGAAACTGAGAAAGACGAGAATGAAAGCGAACAAAATTCGGACGATGAATTTTTCTCAAAGGGCTCGAAAAATAAACGAAAAACAAAAATATCCGAACCAATAAAATTACCTGAAATTGATCTTGATGCGTAAGACATCCTTTAATTTATAAATTACATATGCATGTGTGTGCGTGTGATAAATGAAAAAAGAAAAAAAAACTTTAGATTTAAAAATTAAAATGATTAAACTTTCAGTTATTCCGCCTTTCCACCAGATGATAGTTTTAATGACTTAATTGACCTCGATAACTCAAGTTCGGATGTCGAGAACGAGCTCGACGAGGACCAAGAGCTTATTAACATAAATAGTGGTTCATCGCGCTTCCCACCTCTGTGGGTTCTACCACTTTATTCTTTATTACCTAGTCGCGAGCAAGCTAAAGTAAGTATTAAAATTTATATATTATTTGTTATTTAAAATAAATTTACCAATAGATTTTTTAAATCGCTATTCATTTACAAGATAATTATATTTTTATTTCTGATTATTATTTTAAATACTTTGACTTTCGTAGATTATTAAATGCCATTAGATTGTATTAAAAAAAAAAAAAAAAAAAAAAAAAAAAAAAAAAAACATAAAGAAGAAGAACATTTTCAATTTGTGATATTAAATACATGCGAGACTTGTGTGTTAAAATTTTTTTTAAATAATTAACGTTTAGCACGCTGTAAATGCATATAAACACTCTACTCGTTATATAACCAGCGTGAATATGTATTTAAACAAATGTAAATGGATCTTTTAATGGAGTTTATCGGGAGCGAGTTTTTATTACTTAATTATATCTTGTAAGATATATGTGCATTTTCATAATCAATAGAATTTGGAAGTAATTGTTGACGATAATCCTCGAATCTCCTGATTAAGATCCTCCGCGATTAGCGCGACGATCACCATGAAATACCTTAACATATTCCAATTATTACATTTATCCATCGATACGACATATTTGGCATCCAGTTTTCTAGCTGCGGTAACTTTGCGTTCAAACATGCTTACATTGTAAAGTGAATGGAATTCAAATTTAAAGAAGGAAAATTCTATCAAATGATATCAAATTATTTTCTTATGAATAATTTAATGATTTTTATTGCGTAGGTGTTTGAGCCGCCACCCGAAGGTTGTCGTTTATGTGTTATAGCGACAAATGTAGCAGAAACATCGTTGACTATTCCGAATATAAGATACGTGGTAGATACCGGTAAATGTAAGACTAAAATGTACGATAAAGTTACGGGTGTAACTACTTTTCGGATTACTTATACCAGTAAAGCTGCTGCAAATCAGAGAGCTGGTAGAGCTGGTAGAATGGGCCCCGGTCATTGTTACAGGTCTGTAATTTATTCGTATCTATTTAATAATTATTCTAATTTTATAATAAAATGATTTAAAAATTGCCATACTATATGTACCCATAATAATAATAATAATAATAATAATAATAATAATAATAATAATATAAATTGTAATGTGTTTATGGGTTGATTTAAGGCTTTATTCGTCGGCAGTTTTCAATGATCAATTCGAAAAATTCAATGAGCCAGAAATTTGTCACAGACCGATCGATGATTTAGTTTTACAAATGAAAATAATGAATATCGATAAGGTGGTTAATTTCCCGTTCCC